CTGTTGCTGCATTAAATGCTAGTGCAGTTTTACCCAGTACTAAACATAGTGTTAAAGCCTCGGCCAATCAGCGCAGCTTTTGGCCGTGGCCAATCAGTACAGCATTCTCTTTACAGCTGCAGCCAATCAGCACAAAGTTTGCCTCCTGAAGATTCCAGCTCACTGCTCCATCAATGCTTTAAAAGCTAGCCGCCGAGCCCCTTTCTGGTGAGTTTTTCTGCTTTCCTGGTCTGTATTCTGCACTTGTGATTTCTCTATATATATAGACTATCTATGTCCATTGCCTACCACTGCCTGTCCTGACATCCAACTTGTATCCTAGTTATCTCTGTCCGCTGCCTGCCCTGACCTCCAGCTTATATCTGGTTATCCATCTATGATGCTTGCCCTGACCTCCTGCTTGTATCCTAGATATCAATCTCCACTGCCTATCCTGACTTCCAGCTTGTGTCATAGTTAACCATGTTCACTGCCTGTCCTCTCACCTGCATATATCTACTCCAGTCCCCTGCTATCTAGTATTCTTTTTTTCAGGGTCATGACCTGGGATCAGCACACAGTTAAGCCCCAACTGCCATAAGAGGGTCTCTGGTGAAAACCACCTGACTCTTAGACTCTCTGCCTTGGGAGATCCCATGTGCCTGCTCCCCATTGGATCTCCTTCTAGAACCTTGGTAAGACTGTCATTCAGCAAGGGTTGTGTTCCAGGAAACTGCTACCTATCTGCCTCTCTTTTAGGGGGTTATGCTCTCTCAAAAACCTACTGCTGGTACGTTTACCCCATACTGTGTAGTAAAGCTGTCCATGCTGGTGAAAACATCATTCTGAAAGTAGTGACATCATCATGCCGCTCCCTTAAAGGGGTACCCTCTTCAGAGGTATAAAATACACTACTGATAATAGAATCCAGTGTCTGAATAATTTCATTTAAAGTTCAGGACTGTGGGAGTGTTGTCTAATTTGAAACAATATTAACAACCATTTTGTCTTTGATTGCTTGTATTCTTCTTCCGAGACAGCAGCACTATGTGTGAGTACGATGGGTTTTTGGTACGTTATTTCAATGACTGTTTCCTAATGTTAACGAAAAGGCTGCAAAGAATCCCTATTGTACAGGGAACAAATATATACGCTCTCAGATTCTATCTGTAACCCTCAGGCCTTGTCTCCACAAAGTACTGCTAAACATGCTAATCCTCCAAGATACAAAGATGTTTAATGTCCTTGAATAGAGTGTACAATTTCTAGAGCAAAGTAGGCTGGGCAGGAAACAGCCAGTGTTCTCAGTGTATGAGAATCATGCATGAGTTCCCTGCCGTGCCGGAGTGTCTCACAGCACTACTGATTAATGAAACCGTTAGCGCTAAGCTCCTGATTTATCTTGTACGTGAGTATGAGAGGTGGAAACTTAGCCCTTTCTTGCATGGCTGCTGTGGCATTTCCTAAATCCCCCACCACATCTGAATCACAGTTGCCTTTTTCTCTCTCATTTTTTGCCTGGAGTAAAAGGCCTATAAATATATATTAATCCAAAAGGTCAGTTGTCTACTAATCTGCTCGCTTAAGACTCATGATTACTGTTGCTAGAAGGCTGTTCTCTGTTAAAAGTGAGTTTTAAACTGTCTCAGTCCAGCAGTTCCTGAAGGGCACCATTCTGACACTCTGCGATCCTCCTCATGTTCTATAACCTGTAACCTTTCCCTAAATTGTCAGTGAACACAAGGCCAAGCCAATCGTTCGGCATCAGTTCAACAATTACCTTTTCATCTGCGGGAGGAAGTGCTGTTTTCTCGCTTCAGTGAATGTTAATTCTCTAGCATGCTCTTAGAATAATTATTTGTGTCTCAATACTCAGTTTCCAAGGATCATTTCACTTCAGGATCAACCAACTCGAATTTAACAAAGTGACATCTCTACTCCAACACCACACACGAACAAAAGGAGCGGCGGTTATGAGATGACATTATCAAGGGAGAAGATGCATTGGAAACCAAAGCCCCGTTGTCACCGGCATCCGTTCTTCCTTTCCACAGTATATACGGCAGGACGAGACTGTCAAATACTGCTTGCTGTTTGGATCTGACTGGTTGCTTTTGGCCTGTGAAACTGCTGAGCTTGAATTGCAAATTTGTGTTCCTGATATATTGCTTCTGCAGTACAGTTTGTTCATTTAATTACTCAATTGCTATGCATTTTGGAGTACAGATAACCAATCCATACAAAATCAACTCTAAGAGTATTATTTGGTCAATTTAAGATATGTTATAATAAATATGGACATTGGTTGTGTTTGGCTATTGGAAAACTTAAATAATAAATGAAGAAAATAAACTGTCTTCCTAAAATCTCACATTTTGCCTAGGCTCATACTAGCTCATGCTCTTAAAAGTGATTCACAGTGGCAAACAGCAATTTTCAAAGGGGCTAACACACTTCAAATACTAGCGTTTGGCTCACAGTTGCAACATGACCCCATTGACTTGGAGGGCTACGTTTGACAGGAGGTGCCCCCTGTGAACTCAGTGTGCTGCAATACATTGGTTGTGCTTTGCAATGCTTTGTGGCAAGGCCGCAACATGTGAAAAGTCTCCTCTGGTTGTATTTTAGATATTAGGTGGGCAGTCGGAGAGCAGTAAATCCATGTGAAATAGGTCTAAAGGATTTAGAAATATCAATGAAGGACTAAATCAGTGGTGACACTGAACTGTTCATATGTGGGAAACTCCCTGACTTCCTGCTACGGGTCAAGTCAGACAATGATACTATATGCTCCCCTTGCGTCAAAAAAAGTGTGGGTGCTCCTGTTTTGGTCTCTGAGGCATGCGGACTGCAATGTAGGATGTCAAAATGAGGGTGCAAATACAAATTAAAGCTCAAGTCAAGCCTTCCCAAGTGCACAGGAGAATGCGTAGGTCCAGGTCCAGGCAACTTGTTGTTCTCGCCCTCTCTTAAATAAAGCTCAGCTCCAAGGCTTGGGATTCCCCCACTTTTTTGGCCCTCCACTATTGGAGCACCCAAGGACCAATAAAAAACACTTATATACATACATTGTTTCCAGGTTTCTTTGGTTTAGTTGTGTGATGTCCCAGTTCCTATTTATCTTCTTCCTTTAGTTGTTGGTAGAATGTTGGCACCACTTTCTTCGGTATTCTCCTGTGAGTACAGGATGGGCCATTGATGGTCTTAGTCCACAGGAAGTGGAATAAAGAACTTTGGGGATCATTCAACCCAGAAGAGGACTGTTACCAAAGAGCAGGAATGGGGAGTATGTAATGATTGTTAGAGCCAAATGTGTTTTTTTTAATAAAGGGGGAGGGGGGGGGTCTTTTATTTATTTATTGGACCTGGTGTTTGGTAGCTTGGGCACAAAGAACTGCTTGGTGGCAGAGAGAGTGTACATGTGTGCTCCATACCATTAGTATTAGTTGGGCTCTGCTGGCAGATGGATAGTAAAAGGTAGGCACAGGTAGGAACCTTCCTGTATCCCTGCCAGTATGGAGTTTTTTCAGATCTGCAGATGTCTTCCCAAGTGTTTTAGACAAAAAAAGCTCAAGAACTCACAAGTACAGAGTAGGAGAATATAGAAACAGCACAGAAATTGTGGTATGTGGAATAAAAGCAGATTAGAGGAGGAGATTGGCTGTAGACAAGTGCTACTAGTGGAATACTACAAACATCCCTAATCCATATTCATCTGTTAGGAATGGAACATTTTAGCTGGCTTTTTAGTAAAATGACCTTTGATGAAAGGGCCCTGATAATGCATAATAAAGTAATCACTTTCATATTCTTGTGACCTGTATGAGATCACGTAGTCTGTTGCTTCATGATCTCATACAGTCAGAGAACTACTTGCTTTTTAATAGTTTTGTGTTTTACAGAAAAATATCTTAATTACATTTTATATATTAACCAGCATTATTTGCACAAAATATTTTTGTATTACAGCTAAAATGATTATCCAGTGTCAAACATGCTGCATTTGCAATCAAAATATTTATTCTAAAAGTGTTTTATGCAATACCAGTATGATGTTGTGGGTTAACACACAATTTTTCTAGTCATTTATGAAAGGAGCTAACAATAATATTATAGATGGGAAATTAAATTTTTCTAAAAGTTTATTAAAGAGACAGACTATTTGTTAAGAAATAGAAAATCTTCCTACAAGATTACGTTGAATACATTGGTTATGCATTTCGTGCATCAACTACATCAGTATTCAGTATTCAGTAGAGATATAATCCTCAACAAGCAGATGGCAATGTTAATACGTTTAACCACTTCATGTCCGGACACTTTTACCCCCTTCCTGTCCAGGCCAATTTTCAGCTTTCAGTGCTATCACACTTTGAATGACAATTGCGCGGTCATGCAACACTGTACCCATATGCATTTTTTAGCATTTTTTTGAGACAGATAAAGCTTTATTTTGGTGGTATTTATTCACCACTGGGGTTTTTATTTTTTTTTGCTATGTAAAAAGAAACAGTCCAAAAATTTTGGAAAAAAACTTTTTTTTTTTTTAAAAGTTTGCAAATAAATAATATTTCATCATAAATCTTGATCACAATGTATTCCATTATCTTTTTAGTAAAAAAAAAAAAAAAAAAAACCCAAATTAGTTTATAAACAAAAATGATAATTTTTAAACATTTTTTTTTACATTTTTATTTTATTTTTTTTATATTATTATTTATGTTTTTTTTTTTTTTACATACTGTCACCCTAGCAGTACAGTGTCACCATGGTAATAGTGTACTACATGTGGGGGGTGATGAATATTTTTTTTTTTTTTTTTACACTGATTGCTTTTACACCCATAAAGGTTGTAAAAGCAATAATTTCTCCTTCTCTCTGGCTGCATTCTTGCAGCCATTGAGAACTACTGTGTGAGCTGTGATTGGTCACAGCTTGTCACATGTTACAAGGCTGTTGTGAATGTCCTTGTACCATGTGACCTCTCTGATCATTCACAGACTTCACACATAGTAAGCAATGATGTCAGAAGTGACATCTTGCTTACTACTCTGTATGTGATCACTGATTGGCTAATCAGTGATCACATGATCGGGACCTCACACAGAGTTCCCGTATGACGATTGGGTTTCCACTGTGTACGGAGGTCACAGCGGGCACCTGATCGTGGTGCTGCGGGCTCCCTCGGAGCGCGCATAAACAGGGGGTGGGGAGGCCGTTTATAAACAGCCACCCGACCCTGCACTGCCACCATCCGGCCGTTTATATGCAACGGCCAGACAGGAGGTGGTTAAGGCTGCATCTGTGGTATGCTATACTCTAATGTCTTTTCTCTGAATAAGTTTACTCTTTCCTGTTTGCAGTAAAGCAAGCAGAAAAACACATGGGTCCAGTTTCCCAGTTATAACCTGCTACAACAAAAAAGTGCAAGATACAGCAACAGAAAGAAGATTGCAACAGAGTAAAAGAAAACAGCAGTAACACATCTGCACTAAAGATTTAATTTGCAAACCTGACAAACCGGAACTACCAGTCTTGAAGATGAAAAGGATGCTAATAAGAGAGAGTACGTAGGAATGTATAAATGATGTCATGCCGCAACACCCTTCAGATGTGTGGATAGAGAAAGATCAGAAAGCTCAGAGCACAATATCTTTTAGCATAGAAGATGATCAAATCATACATATATGTAAGTGTGAAACTTCTAAAATAATGTGGGAAGGATTACAAAAGGTACATGAAAAAGTTAATCTCAGCAATAAACTGTATTTGATTAGAAAGCTACAGTATACAAAACCCAGCTGATGAAAGGCCAGGCTATGCAGGATTACATAAGGCACATGGTTGAAAGCCTGAGAGGTATAAGAGAAGAAATAAAAAGATGTTCATGTCACAGCACTATTACTTAGTGGTTTACTAGAAACCCATGAAATGCTTGTCACAGCACTTGATGCATGCCCAGATGATGAATTGACATTGGAATATAATAAAGGTAAGCTTGCGGATGAATATAAGCGTAAAACAGAGAGCATTAATAGTGACAGTGCTTTTATCGCAGAGTCTGGTTTAAAGGCGAAAAATAGCAATAAAAACAGTAACATAGAAAAAGAAACATGAATACTTTCTGTGCAAGAAACAAGGCCATTTAAAAACAGATTGCAGAATCTGGAAAGCCAGAATGCAAAAAACAGACTAAACTACAAAGGCCAAACTGATTTTTCTTTAGATAATGAATATGTTTTTAAATTCAAAAGTTGCATCTCATCTTTGCTGTAAATCTCAAAAGGGAAACAGAATTCTACACCAAGACACAAACAAGGTAACCATTAGTAGAAGCGCAATTGACAATGAAACTTCACTGTGTTCAAAATTTCATGAACTAACACAAATGCTTCAAACTGAGGGAAATTCCACTTCTGAGTCACATGAAAATAAGCAAAAAAGTGACACAGAAATAGAATTTAGCACAGGCAGTCCAAATACTGTGAAAGAAGAAACCAAATCACAAGAGGCTTCAATCAGGAAATCCACCAGAAGCATCCCAGCCAACTGTCTGTCCTATGTTGCTTGTGTAGCATTAAAACCAGAGCCAGATTCATGAGATGAGATGCAAAGACTTCTAACCCATGAGAAACAAAAGTGGATCAGAGCTGAGATCCAAAATGGGACTAATATAAGGAGCAGTTGTTGAGTGGGGGTGTTGTAATACAGTGTTCATGTACTTTGTGCAACGGCTACATCAATATTCAGTAGAGATATATTCCTCAACCAGTAGATGGCAGTGTTTATAAGTTTGTAGCTGCATCTATGGTATGATATATATATGTCTGAATATGTTTTCTATTTCCTGTATGCAGTGAGGCAAGCAGACAACACATGTAGACTTTGCACTGCCTGTTTTGTCTAACAGATTATATGCACATTTAATGTATTTTAGGCATGTTATTTACCTGTAAAAGACTCCTAATATAGACATCCAAAAGCCCTGAGACTTCTGATGGACATTGCTATCTTGGATTTGATGTCAGCAACCCTAAAAGACTCAGAGCTGTCACTCAAGTGAAACACTATTGTATTCCTCTTCACTCATCACCCATCAGCTACATAACAGATTATGTAGGTCATTGATGGGTGGGGCGGAGAAGCTGGGCCAGCACACACAGTAATTAGACACTCCCAGAAGAGGAAAGGGCTATCATGTGAAGAAGTCAAATTTTTTAGCAAGTTCAAAGGCAAATTTCAGGTGATTATGAAAATTAATTCTTGGAAATGAATAATAAGTATTTAACACCTTCCACAGCCAGTGAAGGATCACGCTTGCCTATAGCAGATTGATGGGCAGGCAGGATACTCCTCCTTCTGAGTGGGCTTCATGTGATGTCCTGTCAGAAGATGCCGCTCAAGGCTGTGCAGCGGCACGGTCTTTCACAAGCTGTGTCCACTGCCAGTGTCATGTGACCAATCACAGCAGATCACATGACAATTGTATACAATGAATGACTTGCTTTCATGCCATCCTTGTATACAATTGTGTCGTTAGCTGTGATTGGTCACAATGGTCACATTGTACAGACAGGGCCAATCACAGCCCACATGTACCATGTGATGAGCTTTGTCCAATCACAGCTAATCACAACAACAGACTGAATGAATCAGTTTCATTCAGTAAAAATGGTTGCTAATGTCAATGAAATACATTGGTATTAGCGATCATAATGCGTTAAAAAAAAAAATCCTGATCACTTGCCCAGAATAGTACAATTTTACCATGGTAACACTGTGTTGCTTTGGTCACAGTGTGTTGAAAAAAAAGTAGAAATAAGTAAAAAAAAGTAATAAAAAAGAAAAGACAATTGAAAAAAAATTGAATTATTATTCTTATTTATTTATTTCACATACTGTCACCAATCAGTGTCCCTGATCACACCAGTTACATGATAACACTGTACTGGACTGGTGACAATATGTAAAAAACAAATTGTGAATTTTCTCTTTTTGTAATTTCTTCCTTTTGCAAAAAATTGTGACAAAAAATTACAACTTCAAAAAACTTGCCATGCCTAATACTAAACACCATGGATTGTCTGTTTTCCAAAAATGGGTTATTTGGGGGGGTATTCGTACAATCTTGGCATTTTCAGGCCTCAAGAAATTAGATTGACCGTCAGTACATCAGGATTGATTGATTTTCAGATATATCCCATCATTTGTGGACTCTATAACTTTCCTACAGACTAAATTATACACACTGATTTGGGTTATTTTCAGCAAAGAAATGTAGCAGAATACATTTTGACATAAATTTATAAATACATTTTATTTATTTATTTGAAAAATTTTATAAAAGAATGAAAACAAAGTTTTTTTTAAGTTTAGAGTAATTTTTGTTTATTTAGCAAAAAAATGAAAAACCTCAGTGAATAAATCACAACCAATATAAAGCACTATTTGTGTGAAAAAAATTATATTTTTTTTATGGATACAGTGTTGCATGACCGCGCAATTGTCATTCAAAGTGCAACAACGCTGAAAGCGGTAAATTGCCCTGAGCAGTAAGGGGTAAAAGTGCCTGGTGTTGAAGTGGTTAAAATACCTAATTTTTCTATGCTTTTACCTGCAAGTTGGTGACACGTGCTCATTTAAGGTAAACTCCAGGCAAACAGTCAAATACACAGATGACATATATGAGAGCTGTTATACCTGCAAAACAATTTGCATTTTTGTCCATCTAGCTCTGAGAGTTACACAGCTCGGTGTCACAGCACAGCCCTGCCTGATGATGGAGAAAACCTGATTTTTATCTGCTAATGTTCAGTCAAAACTTACTTGTCCCACCTCCAGCGTCGGACTGGACAGGATGACTTGCCCAGTTATAGGCTCATCTCTTTGTCAGTCTACACTCTCCTCCTATAAGAATGGTTCCTTGCACTGCAGTATACCTGACTGGTTCCTTCAGCAGCTTCTCCTTCTCCCTTCCGAGCTTTGCTGTACAGGCTGTACAGAAGACTGCAAGAGGCTGATACCAAGTCAAATTTAAGTACTTTCATGGTTTGCATTAAAAAAAACCAACATTTTATGATATATTACTTTTTATAGAGCTACATTAGACCCCATTCACTCTAAAGTGATGTGGTAACTTGCGTGGCATTGTACGTGTTCTTGCAGCCAATAAAAATTATCTGTTTTTTTTACTTAAAGTGTTACTAAACCCAGGACCCTGTATTCACTATATCTGGTCTCCCACAGTACACAGGACATGGAAGTGCAATTATTTTAGTAAGTATAAACTGCTAAATACCTTTTCCCATCAGCAGTTAGAGCAGTCTTGTGACTTCCCACATGGAAGAAAAATATATTTTAAAAATATATATTGTAAAAATATTCTTCCCAAATATATTGACAAATATTTGAAATACTAAAATTTTGGCAGTATTCAATATATTTAAAAAAAAAAAAAAATTATATATATATATATATATATACACACACACATATATATACATATACATATATATATACTGCATGTTGAAATGCGTTTTTTATATATTACAAAATATATGAAAAAGTATTTTTTTAAATGTATATTTTTTAAATATATTCTTCAGATTTTTTGGAACATACAAAACAGTCATTTTAACATATATATTTTTACATATGTTTGTAAATACATTCCAAAAATTTAGATGAAATGTATTTTTAAAGACACACAGGATATTTGAAAATGTATTTTAAAAAATATGTTTCACATATTTAGCAATAAAAACGCATTTCGCTATATGTATATATTGTGTATGTTGAAATGTGTTTTTATTACAAAATATATGAAGAATATTTTTCAAAATACATTTAATCTACATTTTTGGAATGCATTTACAAATATATGTAAAAATATATGTTAAAATGACTGATTTATATGTTAAAAAAAAGTCAGAAGCATATATTTAAAAAAAATATATTTAAAAACATATTTTTCATATATTTTGTAATATGTAAAAAACGCATTTCAACATGCAGTATATATATATATATATATATATATATATATATATATATATATTTTTTTTTTTTTTTAATATTTTGAATACGGCCAAAATTGTAGTATTTTTAAATATATGTCAATATATAAAATATATTTTCAAATATATTTTTCTTCCATGTGGGCTCTATCAGTGTTCAGCAAAGCACTATCTAAAGCTTGTAGGAGGAGTTTTCTTTCTGCTCTAGGAGGATGCAAAACCCCTGACCTCTGTCTGACCAGTGTTGATTGGCCCTGTGCTGATCACATGTTCTCTCCCAAGAAAGAAAAAAACCTCTCTAGCAATACACACCAAACTGAGCATGCGCAAATTGCCTATGGTTCACTCTATCTTATCAGGAGATAAGAGGTGGTTGCTTGAAAAAGAAGAGGAATAGAGAAGTCAGGCTCAAACGACCTTTTTACACAATGCAGAGGATTAACCCCTTAGGTTCCATGGTGAGCATAACAAGCATGCTTTACTGCATATACAGGCTGATTTTACTGTTGAGGGTTTAGTAACACTTTAAGTTACACTGTCAATGGCAAAAAAAAATTATGAATAGTTAAAGTAGAACTAAAGGCAACACTTTTTTTTTCATTTTGGATAGGAAGGTTTCATTTTGGAGTAAAGAAGGGTTATTACTGCTCTTAGTTTCTTTTTTTGCACTTATTGGGGAGTTTTCCCTTCACTTCCTGTCTCAATGCCAAAACAGGAAGTGAGAGGAAATCCTTCCAAAGTGAATCCCTGATTGACATCAAAGTTATCAGAACTAGTGCCCCCACTGAAAGATTTCTCCACTGTTTCCTTACTTTCACATTTGGTGATAACAGTCAACGGGACAAATAAAGAGGGTAAATCTCCCTATCAGGGGTGAAGACAACAATAAAAACCTGACAGGTGTTCTAATCCCTCCACTCTATACAAGACTAAAAGAAAAAGTGTTGCCTTTAGTTAGAAATAAAGAAAGGTATAGAACGCCTGTCAGGTTTTTATTGTTGTCTTCACCCCTGATAGGGAGATAGCCCCTGATAGCTAGTTCTGATAACTTTGATGACAACCAGGGATTCACTTTGGAAGGATTTCCTCTCACTTCCTGTTTTGGCATTGAGACAGGAAGTGAAGGGAAAACTCCCCAATAAGTGCAAAAAAAGAAACTAAGAGCAGTTATAAACCCTTCCTTACTCCAAAATGAAACCTTCCTATCCAAAATGAAAAAAAAAAGTGTTGCCTTTAGTTAGAAATAAAGAAAGGTATAGAACGCCTTGTCATTTAGTAGCATTCAATGCCAGATTTTCAGTTTTAGGTTCTTTTTCGCCAGATTTTAGGTGTTCAAAGCAACACCCTCTGTTAGGATTACTTCTTCCAGGCAGTATATTTATTTGGCTTGGTCTATACACAGACTAGAATATTGTGACATTGTATTTATAATCTTGTATGAAATTACTATTTTTAACAAAAATGGGGAAAAAAAGTGTGGTCAACACAACAGCTATTGACAAATGCTGCCTATTCCCTTTGCTGCATCCAGTCACCAAACTTGTGTGCTTAGTAGCAAATCTTGCCATGATAGCATACTTTTTACACATACCTGTCCTGGGGTGTCTCAGCCAAATGTATGGTGTCCTTATGTAACCTTTTGCATGCTGTATTTTATATTTTTCAGGTAGGGGGTAAAGAGGTTTTCAAGTGACTAAACATATTGGTGATGTCCGTTTTTTTTTGAAACCGAAGGAACTTTTTTTCTAAAGAAGGATGAGCTGAAAGCAGTATTAAACACAAAAGCAAACATTTATTATATTCTTAGATGTGATGGCTGCATTAGTTTTCTTTTTAGATTTCCTTTCTCTTTTTTTTCTTTTTCAACAGAACAAGCTGTCCTACAGTTGTAGCAGTTTGAAGGTTGATAAACCATTTACCAATGACAGGGGTGAGTGAAATGATCAGCTATTATTTATTTATGTAAAACCTTTATCCCAAAAGGAAACAACTGTTTGCTGTAACTGGTTAAAGTAAAGTGTTAGCTGGAGTTTGGCTTTAATTTGTTACAGTATTTAAATCTGCTTGTGCATCTAAATTTCTTCTCCCCCCCAAAATGACAATGCTGCTGCCCAAAGTTGCCCCCAGTGCTCCTTAATAGAGAGTGTGGGCACTCTAATACAGGAGGTGTGCTACTGGCCAAATCATCAGGTGAAACTAGAGGGGAAAAGTCTAAAAAAAAAGAAAACTAATGCAGTTATCACTATCTAATGATTGATTAGCTGCAATATAATACATTTTTTGGCTTTTTGTCTCTTTGGACGAAGGCAGTGCTAAGAAAACATATGGCATATGGGATAAATCCATTATTTTATGACGCTATTACAGACCAGTAAACTGGATTTATAGGAATTTTACTCGTGCACTTGGAAATTAAGTTATGAAGTAATAAAATGATAATGTAGGTGATAGAATGCTTAGCACATAGCTGCCAGGACACTTCAAGCAGTATTATACCCAAAACAAAAAAATTTAATATATTGCAGCTTACCAATCCTTAGATGTGGTGGCTGCACTCGTTTTCTATTTTCAGACTTTTTTCCCTCTGTTTTCACAGGTGATCTAGTATTATAGTGCCCCCCCCCCCCTCTGGATGAAGGAGAACAGGGCACAGCAGATAGCAGAATTGTTAATCTGCATAGAGGGCAGTGTTAGATACACTAGCAGATTTAAATATACTAACATATTAAAGCCAAACTCCAGCTCACACTACAGTTATACAAGCAGTTACACAAGCGGTTACAGCAATGTTTTTTTTCTTTTGGGATAAAGGTTTTACATGAATAAATAAAAGCTGATCATTGTGAGCACCCTGATAAATGGTTTGTCTGAACACTCTTAACTGGTACATTTGCAGAAGAGCTTGTTCTGTTGAAAAACAACAGACTTAATGCCTATGTCACCAGGTGAAAATAAAAAAAAAGAATGCCAAAAAAAAGAAAACTAATGCAGCCATCACATCTAAGACTTTATAAGCTGCACTATAATAAATGTTTGCTTTTGGGTTTAATACTGCGTTAAAGCAGGGTTCCAATCAGTTTTGTGTTTTATTAAAAGTCAGCAGCTACAAAAACTGTAGCTGCTGATTTTTAACTACTTGCCAACCGCAGGTAGCCGAATGACGGCTAGTCTGTGGCTGGCCAGTTCTGGGAGGGCATCATATGATGTCCTCCCAGAACGCGCTCTCCTGCACGCCCCCGGGGGCGCGCACCCGGCGATCTCTGTGATCACTGTGTCCTACGGACACAGCTGATCACGTGATGTGGTAAAAGGCCAATCACAGCGGCCTTTTACCACGTGATCAGCCGTATCCAATGACACGCTGATCACCTGGAAATGCAATTGCCGGTTCTCGGCTGCACTTTCCTCACGCTGTCATAGCGCGAGGAAAGTACTGCCGAGAACCGGCAGTTGTCACAGCAGGGATCGGCATTGATGACCAGTGCCCTGATGATCGGTGCCCAGCAGTGCCAACCACCAGTTCCACCCAGCAGTGTGCCCAGCAGTGCCACCCAGCAGTGCCACCTACATGTGCCCAGAAGTGCCACCTACCTGTGCCCAGCAGTGCCACCCACCTGTGCCCACCCAACTGTGCCCACCAGTGCCCATCAATGCAGTGCTGCCAGTCAGTGCCACCAGTCAGTGCCCAGTGGTTGTGCCAGTCAGTGCCCAGCAGCTGCGCCAGTCAAAGCCTAGCAGTGCCACTAGTCAGTGCCCAGCAGTGATGCCAGTCAGTGCCACCTATCAGTGCTGTCTATCAGTACCCATCATCAGTGCCACCTATCCGTGCCACCTCATTAGTGCTGCCTATCAGTGCCGCCTATCAGTGCCCTTCAGTGCTGCCTATCAGTGCCCATCAGTGCTGCCTATCAGTGCCCATCAGTGCCACCTATCAGTGCCCATCAGTGCTGCCTCATCAACGCACATCAGTGAAGAAAAATTACCTGTTTGAAAAATTTTATAACAGAAACAAAGAAAAATGTTTTTTTTTTTTTGCATTTTTTTGTTTGTAGCGCAAAAAAAGTAAAGCGCCCAGCAGCAATTAAATACCACCAAAAAAAGCTCTATTTGTGAGAAAAAAATGATAACAATTTCATATGGGTACAATCTTGCATGACCGCGCAATTGTCAATCAAAGTGCGACAGTGCTGAAAGCTGAAATTGGCCTGGTAAAGAAGGGGGTATAAGTGCCCTGTAGGCAAGTGGTTAATAAACACACACTCACCTGTCCCAGGGTCCGGCGATGTGCTCACCCGTGCTGCCCTTCTCTGCCTCTTTTCTCTCCCGGAGCCGTCATCACTGTGGGCACCAGGTTGTGACAGCTTGCGGCTTCACAGCCGGGTGACCAGTGTGCATGCGCGAGTTGTGCTGCACATTCTCATTGGTCCTGCAGTCTTCTGGGACCTGTGAAGAGTCTCAGGAGACTGCGGGAGGAAGGAGGGGGCCAAACGCCCATCTCAATTCGCCGCTCCAAACTGAGCCAGAAGTGGAAAGCAGGTACCTGTCAAAACCAGGTATTCGCTTTCCCCCAAAAGCTGCCAAATATGGCAGTGGAAGGGGGGAGGAGGCAAATAAGTGGAGCTTACACTTTTGAGTGGAACTTCGCTTTAAGTTCTGCTTGTTTCCAGAGAAATTCAGCCTAATTGCAAGCACTTCTGTTAGTTGGAAAGGCCGATTGGAAGCTTTCAGAATGATTCATTTTAAGTTCAGGCATGGCATAAAAATAATGTAGCAATGCGAACAGATAAAAGAGGAACATGATAGAAATAGAAAATAGTATATCAGTAGCAAAGAGCATTATTCTATATCTTTTACCGATTCCCATTATGTGTTGTATCATGCCTGTCTCATACATAGGACTGGGAAATATAACCAAAAGTTCCAAGAAATTGCAGCGTTGCGTCAGAGACAAGTGCAAAGAATGGGTACATATAAGGTTTTCATAATGTAAAAGATCAAGAGTATGACATAGATCAGTCTAATTACAAGTACTACTTTGAACCAGTCCTTCACTCGGGAACTAAGATCAGTGATGTAAGGCAAACTATTTTTTTTTTTACATTTATTGTGATCTTGATTAGATGTAAGAATAGCAGCTGGTAACTGCAAGTAGATTATATTCAGTGAAACCTTTTCTTTACCTGGCATAATTATGTGAATAAGACAACTAGTAGGAGCGTCAATTGTTTAATACACTCTTGTGAAGCCATCTGGACCTGGGGCTTCTGATGATTTTAGTGAATCTGTCTACTGCATAATGAGTTTTACAAACAGTTTATCTGAGAAATTCTCAGATCTGCTAGAGACTCGACTTCTAACGGTACTTGTTCTGTAAGGCCCCTTTCACAAGTGTGGACCATTGGTCTATTCAGTTCACTCACATTTTTTTCTTTGAAGTTTGAATGAAGTTTACGTCAGTTATTCATCAGTTTTTACATTCATTTTTTTTTATCCACTACCAATGCAAAAAAGGATGCAAAAATGGATCCACTTTTTTTTTTATTACTTGTATTTTTATTGAGAGTATAAGTTTTGAACAAATACAAACATCTTTACGTTTGCATAAGAATCAATAATAAGGTCAGAGATGAAATATTAACAGTAGGAGGATACGACCTCCTGAAATGTTGTTTTAACAATGGTTGGCGGCTGAATGTTGACTGTTGTATACAATTCCGTTCCTTTTTTTAATGGAACAAAAATAGGGCTTTGATCTGTTTCAAAAAAGGATGTTGACGGATGCGGATGTAAATAGATGTACAATGGATTATCCTCCATTTACACTCATTTTTCTATAGAGTTGCGTTGATGTCCATTTTTCAGCCATCAACGGATGAATGAAAAACAGACAAACGGTCCGCACATGTGACACAGACCTTAGGGTCCTTTCACATGGATGTTCTGTTTGTTTCATCTGTTCAGTCACGTTTTTGTCAAAGAAAAAAGCGATTCAGTGTACACCAGTTTTACACCAGTTTTACATCAGTTTTTAGGGCTCATGTACACTGCAGCTGATAAACTCATGTTTAGGAGATGTTCAGCGTTTTTTTTTCAGCAGCCCCTGAACTCTCCCTAATGTTTTCCTATGTGTCCACATACACATCTTCATTTACAGTCGTTTACAGTTTGAGTTCACAGTCGTTTTTTTGAACGCAGAAAACTTGCGTTCAGCAGTCGATTTTATCAGCGTTTCAAACATAAACCGCTTGTAAACGCGGCAAATTGTGTTTGCATTTGAAACTTTTTTTTTTACTCTTCCAGTTCCTGATGCTGTCCAGAGCCTTTTTTCATCAAGAAAAATGCATGCAAAGCGTTTTCAAGGTACTCAAATGGACAAAACACTGAATAGAGGATGTTCCCACTAAGCTTGTCACACATTGTAATGACCAATTCACACCTCAGACCTCTCCCACCCTTGGAAACAAAAGATATGTTACTGACCATTGACCACCTCAAATTCCTCATGAAGACCCCCTGCCAGGTGGCCTTAATGACTCACTCCACCAGACACCTTTCTCAGCCTTGGAAACAAAAGAAATTTTAATGAGCAACTCACACATACTGCTGTCTCTGCTTCTACTCTCTGTATTTCTCTGAAACAGTCTGAAACAGTTAATAATATACCACTTTTCAGTGCATTCTGGGCATTTGGGAGGTTCTCCTGTGCTTATCTTTAAAAAATATTTCTAAACGCAAACGCACATAAACACGCATAAACGCGTTATGCAAACGCAGCTAAACAGACATTTTTTAATCTACGTTTTCCAGCAGTCAGTTTTCATCATTCAGAAGTGTCCCGTGTACATGGGGCCTTACATCAGTTTTTTACATTCACTACCAATGCAAAGACAGCTGAAAAAAACAGACCATGTGTCCATTCACATCTATTTTTTGTCTGCTCTGCTTTTTTAACAGAACAAAAACAGGGATTTAATCCATTTCAAAAGACAGATGTTGACGGATGTGGATGTAAACGGGTGATCATCTGTTTTTCCATAGAGAAGCACTGATGTTCGTTTTTCATCTGCCAACAGATGAATGAAAAACGGACAAACGAAATGCCCATGTGAAAGGCAAGAGTTTAGAATTGAAGGATTCCCAATTTTACAAGTTGCACAAGCTAGCTTTGATTACATTAGCAGGTGAGGTTATTACATTTTTTGTTGATTAAAAATCAAACTTTTCATTAATTTGAAAAACAAACAATTAAACGTGATTCAAGTGGGGATAAATTTAATAAGTGTACATGAGGGTAATTAGATTTGGATCTCAAAATTTTTGACCTTGTCCATCAATAGGACAATTCAAGCCTTATGTCTGCATACATGGTAAAAAGCAATATGAATCAGTCTACCATCTATATCAGGATTATGGGGAAAACATATTATGGCCCCATAGGTGTCAGGTATAATGCTTGTTGAGGTGTATAATGAAATTTCCTGAAAACTGTAGGACATGATTAATGAATCAACTAGAAAAGATTTATTTAAACACCAAGTGACAGATGGACGGAGGAAGCATATTCTTTCAGCAAACACTGCAGCTTGATCAGACCATAATGTTTGGCAGTAAAATTTAAAGCTGAACTCCAGGATAAGCAAATATTGTCTAAATTCAATAGGCGTGTGTATTTTTACTTGAATCTTCATGTGCTTTGTGTATTTCTTCCAGATCTGTGCAGTAATCAAGTGTGAAACTTTGCCTCTGTGCACGCGCTTATTGTAACAGACTCGTCACTGCTGCTCTCTCTCCTTGTGCTGGTGACTGGTCTTGTATCCACCCTCTCCTGCAGCCTATAGTGGACGGGACCTACTGGCTCTCTGCATCAACTTTTGCATGTACAACACAGTGATGATGTCACTGCTACTTTTACTAAATAATATCTTGGTTTGCAATGGCATTTGGTGCACTGAAAGTGGACTTTTACCCCTTTTGGCTATTAAGGAATGTACTTGAATAAAAGTTTTTGTTCCCCCGAGTTCATCTTTAACAAGAATGTAAAACGTTGGGTGACATTGGGGGAGATTTAATAAAACTGGAGCACTCAGAATCTGGTGCAGCTGTGCATGGTAGCCAATGAGCGTGTTCAATTCATCTTTGACAATAAAACCGATAAGCTAATTGGTTTCTATGCAGAGCTGCACTAGATTTTGCACGCTGCAGTTTTAGTAAATGCCCCCCATTGACTAATATATTGTTCAAATGTTTGTAGGAATCTTAAAGACATAAGTAGAATGTATGCCCTGGAACATCTTTCAGACATTCCATAAGTTGAATCCATAGAGATCGAACTTATTATATTTATTATAGGTCTTCTAACACAGCAAGCTAGAAATAAGAGTTTAGACATCAAAGTCGCAGGGCAAGCCACAGCCTATTCTTTTAAATGGCACGCATTTAAAGTGGTGCGAATTAAAGTAGCAGCGACTTTGAAAGGTGCCTACACTACTTTGATGCAAGTTTGTTCCAAAAAGTGTAAAGTCGGATCAAAGTGGCACTCAAAGTCGCACAGTAAATCACACGACTTTGGAGTCCTACAAGGGTGAATGGAGTCTTACTCAAGTCTCTGCCCACTAAAAGTCTGCCTAATTTTAGTTGAGCAAGATTTTGTGAAGGTAATGTAAAAGTGAACGCTAACAACACTAAAGATGCTGACACAGAGGCCTTGAAAGTTACTATTAAACAATAGCTGTTATACCCACTATATACCAGGTGCTAGTCTGAAACAAGACATTTTACAAATGTGTATTTTATGTCAAAATATTGGTTGCTAAGCAACAAATAATATACATACTGCAAAGACTGCCATTCTAGTGACAGCGTTATAATATGTGCTTA